GCCGCGCTGCCGCGGACATGATGGGCCCGGGGCGCAGCGCGCGCGCGGCGCCCGATAGGTGGCAGCCGAGAGCGAGGCCCCGGGGCTCCAGAGGCGCCGCCGAGCCCCCTAGGCTGTCAGTCTAGGAGACAGAGGAGTCTAGGACCACGTGCGTAACGCGAGCGTGGGAGTGTGCGGTGCTCGTGTTGGAGAAGGGAGGAATGGAAATAACCCCGACAGCGCCAGGCTTGGCGGTGGTCAGGGACAGATGACTGCAGCCCTGCGCTGCTCGCCGGCTCTTCTGCCGTTTAGCGCAATAGAGCCCTTGCTGCGGTCTCCCTACCTACCCTAAAGGATCCTGGAAGAGGGAGTGGTTCGTCCGAGCTGTAGAGAGGGAGCTACTTTTATTTTTAAGAATTACGTTTGTATAAGTACGATCGGGCAGTTCAAGGGAGGGCGAACGACTTGCAGGAAAAAAAAAATGTGAATGCATTTGGTATGAGCTAAAAGCTGGAAAAGCCCCAAATAGAGGCAGTATGGATAGAAAGCAAGTTTGTTGAAGAGTCACCTGCTAAACTTCACTAGCGTCGTCTCTACAGTAAGTATTCCTCGATCTTTCCTTGTAACCAGACACGTCCCTCCCCTGAAGAAGGCCTTTACATTCTTAAGGCTGTGTTTGGACTGTTAGGCCTGTAGTCCTTCCCAAGTGTAGAGGAAAAGTTGGTCATAAGTGACTCGATGCAGGCAGGGTGGCTGTTCCTTTGATAAATAGGTAGTTTATCTTGTAGAGAGATTTTTGTCTGTCTTACTCTGGAGTCAATTATGCCTTAAAAATAACTGATATTGTTGGATTCTTAGTAATATTTGGGATGATATTGTATTTTGATTAGCCATGAGTATTAATAGCTATGCAGACATACTGTGTGTGCATGTCCATATACAGGGGTACATAGATATCTCATCTTTCCTCATCATCTGTGTATGTTGAATTAAAGGAGATGAATACTGAAACCTCCTGCTTGAGCTTTTGTAACGTTTGAAAAATTTTCCTCTGAATCTGTTATGTACGTATTTTAAAGTTAAGCCATAAATACTTTTTTTTTTTTTTAAGATCTTTGTTCGGTGTACATTTTGGCTTTGTGAAATGGAGAGGGGGAAAGAAGTAATCTGTGATGTCAAATAATAAAAATAAAATCTTACAGTGGAAATTCCTGTTAAATTTAGAAACATGTGCCTAAGAATGACAGCTGCAGGCTACAGGTACGTTGTAGAGGCAACACTTAAACTTTACCCACCAAACAATGTTCCTCCATTTTATTTATCTTTTAATATGATGTGAATGTACAGAAAAATAATTTTAAAGAATAAATTGCTTTTATAATTTCAAAATTAAAGGATAATATACAACTTAAAATTACATATTAATCATAGCTACAAGCCTTCAAAATAACAGGGGTGAATCCCATCAGAAATAAAGTTTCAAATATTTATTAATATTAACGAAGTTTTGAAAGGTTATAAAGGTCTGAACAAAATATGAAACAAGTAGCCATTTTATTTTATTATTCTTCTTAATCTTCACAATTCCTTTTAATATCAAAATTTAGTTTACTTTTGATTCTATAATTTTTTATTTCTATTTTAATAGTTACTGGCCGAATTTTTTAAAAAGGTATTATGCATGTTTGAGATTAATTCAACTTGTAGATTTGTTAGAAAGATGTGTACTGTAGTAGTATTCTAGATTGCCTGTTGTGGTTCAAATAAATGAAGAAAACTTTCTACCATTATTTTCCTATTAAGGATGGTTCATTATTTACCACTAGATGTCTCTATAAGCTGCTCTTCAGGAAAGTAAATATTGAGGAAATAACTGTGACATAAAGACTCTACAATAGAATAAAGGAGGGAAAATATCATAGAAATAAAGAAAACCCTCAATTTTTAATCTGTACATGTCTGTCTGGTTGTGATATTGACTAGTGCCTGGAGAAGACATGCATGGATCACGTACAGGTGATCAGATTTGTGCCAAGACTTTCACTCGCAGGAACAAACATGTCTGTTTTGGCCCATAATAAGCAGCATATGTGTACACATGCTTATACAATATTTAAGTAAACACAAATGATTACATAACATATTTGAGCACTAGAAAATTATCAAATACATCTTCCCACAATTAAGGTTATTAATGTTAATTAAGCAATATTTGAGTTGGATATGAAAAACTGGGAATCTTTGTCCAAATATTTGTGACTATATCTAGCATATTATAATTAGCACATGAACTAACACTATTATAAATATGTTTTATATATGGAAACATATTTGACAGTAATTAATCCAAATTTTGGGCATACTTCATACCTGTGCATTAAAATTCGAGTTCAAACCATAAATAGCACATTTTTTTTATTCCAAATGACCATATATTTTCATAAATTTATATTTATCATTTTATAGAATTATTGTTTTAGTGCCTTTTGAATGGTTTGGAGTAATTTCATGCATTAAATGCATTTCTTAAAGTGTTTCCTTCTGTATTATTTTTATATCATGGTGTAGTACCTTTAGCATATTAAAACCCTTAGTCAAGAATTGCAGTCCCTCATGAGGTCACTTAATGAAAATTATAAACAGAAATTATTAGGTAATAATTGTGAGACTTTTATAAGTATGGGTTGAACTCACTGAAATCTAAATCCAGCAGGTTTTCCATTTTTTGTATTAGCTTAAATGGCAAGTTTTCATTGTGGCTTTCTGAACACTAGATTTCACCCTTCTCCAAAACTCAGTTTGATAAGTTACGTTTTTCATTGTAAGACTAGCAATTCAGTACCTCCCAATTTGGCCAATGATACACTTTTAAACTCTAAATTAAGAGGTATTTGTGTGTTGTCTTTCCAATGAAGTTCTATGTATTCTTCACCACTAAAAGAAATGACTGTTTTACCCCCCCCCCCAGGAGGGAAATGTGCTGTCCTTCATGATTGTTTCAGTATGCAGTGGGTAAAATCAATAGCTGTAAGGCAGTATGTCTTTGAAGAGTCTGTTACATTTGGCATTATGACAATCAGTGATAAAATGAAATGATAGCTCTGAAATCCCAAATGGTGTGCAGAAGTGACTGTCAGTGCTGAGACCACTTGTAGACTTAATTAGCTGTTTGTAGTCCTTGAAATAAGCATCAGAGACATAACTGAAATATGGGCATAAATTAGACAGTTTTCTTCTTTGCTTTTACAATTCTTTGTGAATACACCCTTAGAGTTTTTGCTAGATTCATATATAAACTTATACATATATAAACATATACTCTTTGGAGAACAATTGGAAATATCTCCTAAAATTTAAAAGGTGTGTATCTTTTGGACAATTGCTTTTCCTAAAAGGTACCCAGAAATGTAAAATATATAAAGCAATATATTGAAAGATAGTCAATGTAACCGATATTTACATTTGAAAACCACTAACGGTAATTTAAATGACTAAATGAAAAAGAGTACATCTCCATCTACAACTTAGAATACTCAGATACATTAAACAACAAGGGGCATATCAATACTGTTCTACCATTAATAAAGCATATAGCATCAAATTAGGAGAAAGAGAAGTTGGAGAGAGAGAGAAAGGAGAGAGGATAAGAAGAAAGAGAAAGAAGGAGAGAGAAGAAAAAAAGGAGAGAGATAATGAGAATTACACAAATCCAGTAATGGTAGTTACTTCTTGCAAGAAGATTGAAATTCTTGATTGGAATTCATGAGTGGAAGTTTAATATTTTATCAGATACTCTACTGTTTATTATTTCAAAATTACAAGTTATATACACATTTACAATAAAAATATTAAAAGGAATATATTTAATAAACAAGGATAATATTTGGAAGAATGAATCAAAAACTGATGATTTGAAAATGACTTCTGTAGATTAGTTCTACTTCAGATCTGAAATTTGATTATTTAAATGATACAATACCATCAGTAGATACCGAATATCTTTGTAAGTCTGAAGATAAATTCTTTAAAATGGCTTATCTTAATAACTTTTGTATGACATTCAATTTTGTCACCAATTTCAACTAATAGAATAGTAACACAATCTAGCTTCCGTTAAATTCACTATACACAATCATGTTATGGTCTAGGAACATTGGGTTTATTTGAAGTTCCAATGGGTAAACACTTCCGTAGAGAAGATAAGTGATCATACTTCAAATCCTCACCAGTAGTTTTATTGCTAGCTAAGTGATGATGAGTGAGTGTGTAATTGTGACGTATTTTAAATATATAATCAAACCTTGCTAAAATCAAAGCTGATGGCATCTAGTTAATGCTAACATTGAAATATTCACATCCCACTGGAAAAGAGAGGCAGCTTCATTACATAGCTAACCTTGCTTTTCTATGTATTTCTTCATTGGAGTTATGATTAGCTTCTTGGGACCCATTAGTTCTTCGTTATCACATAACTAGTCATTTTTAGAAATTAAGCCTAAATGGCCATTAAATTATGCCTATGTTTTTGCATTTCTTTCTATTATATTAAGAGAAAAATAATCATCCTAAAACACTTATTCATCACGAACAATTGCAGAACTATTTTCTAGATAGAATGTCTAAATTGATGTACTAAACTTCATCCTTTAGAATCATTCATCTATCATGACACTCACAATCTCTCTATTCCCTCAAAATGATCAGCGAAATGATCAGTTCCCTTTTGCCCTAAAGCTGGTTTTCACTGCCCTTTCATCAAAAGACTTTTCACTTTCCTTTTATCTATTGTTCTACAGAATTTCATGTAGAGCCTTTTCCATCGGAAAAATCAGTGTTGAAAACTTACTTATCTTAATATTATCGTGTATTATCTGTCACATGATTTAGCATGGTTGTCTAATGCTTTAAGTGTTCAGTTTCTTACAAAGTAGGTTTTCATTTCCTATTGAGAAATAATTTTATTGTTTGGTACCCATTAACTGGCATAAAAAATGAGCTCCAGAAAATTCTTTGTATTTTCAAAAAGTCTTACTTTTTTGTTAATTTGTTCATTCATACAATATTTAGAACTTAAGTACTAGACACTATCTTCTACATCTGAGGTAAAACATTGACTCATACCAGGAACTCTGAATGATACTAAAGATATTTTGACTCTGTGACAATCTATTGTCTCTCCAACTCAAAATAAGTGAGATACAATATGTGAACCACTATCTCATTAATTGTATTTTCAAGTAACTTCTGTTGTATCATATCCATGCCAAGCCTCTACAAAAGGCTGATCAATAGAACATTATATAATGATGGAAATAATCTCTATCTATGCTGTCTAATATGGTGGCCATCAGCTACATAGTGGTATTGAGTGGTTAAAAGGTAGGTGGTGTCATGGAAGAACTACATATTTAATGCTATTTGAGTTGAATTTTTAAAAATTTAATAGTTTTATATGTGGCTTATAGCCATATTGGGGGGCACAGGCCTAGGGTATAAATTCCTAGAAGATTAAAAAAGTATTATCCAATTTCTGGGATGCTGTGGAAATTCAGTCAATATAAACAGCTGCATTTATAATTAGTGGGGATGAGTACAGCG